ATTAAGTTTTTATATCTTTAAGCAATAATCAAGAAGAAACATACCATTTGAGGGACTTTTAGAGACCTCAGAGTTAAATCAAAGATAACCTACTTATAGTTTTCAACATAATGAATATAATGGGAAAATAGAACATATGTAAATGGGGAAAAATACAGAAACAAAGAATGAGAAGCTATGGGGAAAAGTAGAGAAATGTATATCCATAATCTATTTAAGGATTAAGCACCAACATTGAACAATTTGCTCTCTTGCTGTCTTAATTATGGGAGGAAACAGGGTTTCTAGAAACGTTGATTCTCCACTGCCTCAGTGATACGGTAGCCCATTCCCTTGCCAACTTCTTAAAGGGAGTAGGGATCATAGGACTAGAGGTAAAATTTCAGGAATTCCTAAACTGTTTGGAGACATAATAACCCCTTCTTGCCAATTTCCTGCCCAAGAAGATCTACAATGTCCTAAGAGTAATTAAGAACATTTAGACTCAAAAGGTCATCACTATGGGAATATGAGTACACTGAGGACCCACAGTGTCCCTCTTTTTTTTTCTTTTTGAAAGGGTCTGAGAACTAAATAAAGTCAATAACCACTGCTCTTGGGGTGGTGGAATGACAAGATGGAAAGGAAGAGACAACAGGATTGGTGGAGTCTATTCAGAATCACTTTCTCCCTCCCTCCCTTCTTCTCTGTCTCACACACACACACACACACACACACATACTCCCACATCAATCTTTCACTTACTCTCCCTGCTCAGCCCACTCTCTCTCCTTCTGCACAGTCACCAAGTTGTTCCATATTCTGGATGATGTTCTCACACTCAAACCAGTTGTTGGTCATCCTGCCCTTGAACAGTTCACAAGATGATATCCAATGCAGCAGAGCTCAGAGCTTCATGAGTACTTCCAAGGTATAGAAATAACTGTTCAAGATAAAGGAATTAATATCAGATGAACTTAGGTGAAAACTGTAGCCCAGAGAGTATCCAAAGCTCATGTAGGAAGAAGTTAACCCAGAACTCAACCCAAAATTCGGGAAATACTAGATATCTTCTATATTCTATTTACCTTTAGGAACCTTTTTCTTGGTTCACTTACTCATAAATAAAATGCAAGCATCTAGGACAGTGTCTCCAGGTCGTCTCTACCTCCTTGGGCAAGGTGAGAAAATGGAGAAAAAGGAGTATACTAGGCTTCTCTCTAAGGTCACATCAAAGGCTGGTTTTCATCATGTTTCATGTTGTAGCCTTCACAGTGGAAGTACAGATCCAAGCACTTGTTGTCATGTATGTCTCTCCAGTGTTCTCAAATTCCATTTTCTACTCCCCTGAATCTGCTTCCTCAGGTATGACTGAGATTCCAATCTTATTCAGGGGACTCTACATTCCCCAAACCAGGAGAGTCTTCCTTGTTACCATCACTACAGTGACTGAAGAATGGTATAAATGAGGGGTGTTATTCATGAATTCATGAGAAACCATAGTGGGTAAAAGATTCACTGGATAACTGAAGTTCTGAACAACGAAGCTTCTAGTACTAACATTGCTACCAGTTAGATGTGGAACTTGAGAAGCCCTGAAATTTCTCTGTGCTCAGTGGAGAAGTGAGTCTTATAGCTTCTAGCGGTCTTTAAAAGCTGATCGTATTGGGGAACCTGGCTGGCTCTTGGCCTCGGGGCTAGGAGTTTAATCCCCATGTTGGGTGTAGAGATTACTTTAAAAAAAAACTTTAAAAAAGTTGATCATATTTTTAAAAGGCCATATAGCCATACTAACATGCATTCGTTTTCTCTGGCTGCAAGGTAACTGCTCCTCAACAGGTAAAAGCAGTGCAGGAGTTAAAATATGTCTACAGTGAATAGTGACCTACTATACCTATATATCTATATATCTTGGGAGGATGAGAATTATTTTTTAAGGATTTTATCTATTTATTTGAGAGAGAGCACAGCAGGGGGGCAGAGGGAGAGTAAGAAGCAGACTCCCCTCTGAGCAGGGAGCCCCATGAAGTGGGACTCAATCCCAAGATCCTGAGATCATGACTTGAGCCAAAGCAGAGGCTTAACCAACTGAGCCACCCACGCACCCTGGGAATGGAAAGTCTTAAAAAAATAGTTATGCATGCAAAGCATTATCACCATAATACTGAAAGGGAATATATGAGTCGAAGGAAAATTTATAAGTAATGCTCCAGATCATGAGATATATTTGTATGCATAACCAGAGTCATAGCCCCAAGAACTAACAAGACCAAAAGGGGAATCAACAAGACTGGTGGATGTATTTTCTCAGAGTTTTGGGGCCTGGACTTTGATTTTATTCTACTAGCAAACTAATTAACTTAGCCTGTCATTGTTTCAAGAAATTCAGCATGAAATATGAGTTTCCTGTGTCAGAAAACTTGAATGGGGTCTTTAGGAAGAGATGGTAGTAATGGATCAGTGTTGGTTTTCTGGGGCCATAGCTCCCTCCCCCATGCCTATGAACAACCTCCTCACTCCACCTGGGCTCCAAACTCAATCCAAGCTGGGCTGCTGCCTCCTCTACCACTTCCTCTGGCACCACCTAAAGATTTTTGGACTGAATAATTCAAGAAAGAGGGGAGGACTTTGTTTAATTAAAAAGCAAATTTCTATGGAAAATTTCAAATATTGTATAAGCATAAAAAGTATATTACAGTGAATCCCAATGCCTCTTCCCAACTTCAGCAGTCATTGTGGTACCTTTCTTTGTGTGTTTTCTTTAGTTTTGAGTATTTTATTTATTTATTTATTTAAGTAGGCTCCATGCCCAGTGTGGAGCCCAACACTGGGCACAAACTCACAACCCTGAGATCAAGATCTGAGCTGATAGGCAGCTCAGGTGGCTCAGTGGTTTAGCGCTGCCTTCAGCCCAAGGCCTGATCCTGGAGACCAGGGATCAAGTCCCATGTCGGGCTCCCGGTGCATGGAGCCTGCTTCTCCCTCTGCCTGTGTCTTTGCCTCTCTGTCTCTCTCTCTCTCTCTGTCTCTCATGAATAAATAAATAAAATATTTAAAAAAAAGATCTGAGGTCAAGAGTCTGAGGCTCAATTGAGCTGCCCAGATGCCCCTAGTTCTGAGTATTCAAAAGCAAATCTAGACAGTATATCAGTTCACCTATAAGTACTTCAGTATAAATTTCTAATAAATGACAGTTTTTTCCTTAACATAACCAAAGTATCATTAGGACAACTAAATTGATAGTAACTCCTTAATATCATTGCATTTTAGTTTTCACAGCTGTCCCAAAAATGTGTTTTACAGCTGTTTTCTTCTGATCAGGTACCAAATAATGTTTACCATTGCATTTGGCTGATATATCTATTCAGTTTCTTTTAATCATAGACATTTCCTACTTTTTCCTCTACCTTTTCAAGAAATACCATTTATTTGTTGAGGATCGAGGTTCTTTTGTCCTATTGAATATCCCACATTCTGAATTTTATTTATTGCTTCTTTTAAGTATCATTTAACTAATTAACTCTCAAATGTACCTGCATATCACAATCATCTAGGAAAATTCTATAGTAATGCACACCTGAGTTCCATTCTTCCACATTCTGATTTAATTGGTCTTGTTTACAGCCAAGATATCAGGATGTTTTAAAGCTCCTCAATAATTCTAATGTGCCACACAGTGTGAAAACTGCTAACTTGCTTCTGAATCCCACCCCATATGCAACTATTAGTAACTAGAAAGTTAATTAGATTCAGGTTCACTTATTTTGCCAACAATACTTCATAGTAGTGCCTTGCACCTCTTGTGGCACCTTATCAAAAGGAAAATATTTTCTAGTGGTTTTCATTTGTAACAACCTTTGGGATCTCTCATTTTCTTCAATTCTATCCCCTCTTTGCTATCCATTGAACTGCGGAGGGGTAGGCTGAGGAATAAAAACTTAAAAAGGTACCAGCATGGTATTTTTCCACTTAATAAACTTCTACCAAACTTGCATTCCATTGAGTAGAAAGGGGACTTACTGACATCAGTCCAGCAAAATAACTGCTGTCACGTCTGGCTTAAATCTAGTCACTTCTGGCTCAAAGAAATGTCAGGTTTTCCTTCCATTTTAGTGTAGGCCATTATTCTAAGAACTTTACACACACACACACACACACAAAAAAAAAAAAAAAAAAAAAAAAAAAACAAAAAACCTCACTACTGCTCACAACAAACCTATCTACTATTAGTATCCCCGAGTTATAGATTGGGAAAGTCAGGCAGAAAGACGTTAAGTGGAAAATCGAGGTCACCCAGCTACTAAGTGGTAAATAAACCAGGATTTTTTTAAAAAAAGATTTTATTTATTTATTCATGAGAGACACACACAGAGAAAGAGAGGCAGAGACACAGTCAGAGGGAGAAGCGGACTCCATGCAGGGAGCCCAATGTGGGACTGGATCCCGGGTCTCCAGGACCACGCCCTGAGCCAAAGGCAGGCGCTAAACCGCTGAGCCACCCAGGGATCCTCTAAATCAGGATTTTGGCTTTAGAGTCTGTGGATCTACTCACTGAGCTAGACTGTGAATGGGAACTGGGAAGAAGCAAGAAGAAAGAGAGGAGAGAAGAGGATCCGGAAGTCAGGGATACCAGAATTCCCAGAAGTACAGAGCAGCATGAACCTGGCTGCTGAGAGGTGGCCCTAGAAAACGGAAAGTGGTAAGCTGTGGGGGAGAGGGGTGGTCTCTAGTTGATTTAGTTGGAGGGATGAGAACGCCTTGTTGGCGGTTTGCTGCCTACAATGTGGTAAGGATGAAGGGAAGAGGACTAAAACCAAAGTTAGGGAAGTCTTCCTTCCAAGCCATTTGTCGTAAAAGGGAAGGAAGGAGAGTGACAGCTAGAGGCGGGCAAGGTCCAAGGGCAGCCACTGCTCTCTCCCAAGCAAGCGCCTGGTGACAGTTCTGGCGTGCTCGGCCAGCCCTCGTGCCAGAGCTCTAAGGATGCCGGGGAAGCCCGTCTTCTGAACGTTAGCGGCCGTTGCCGGCCAACTCCTCGGCCCAGCTTACATCAGAGCCGGGGGGTCGGAAGGTGAGGTCTTATTTCCTGTGCATGCCAGCCGCCCCTTAGTCCCTCTTGCCCCGGGTGCGCCCTAGTCCTGCGACGGGCCTGACAGCGGAAGGGTTAACTCGGCGCTGCCGCCGAGAGTCGCGTCCTAGAGAGCCTTGGAAGGCGAGAGTCCCCGGCTTCCGGTCCCCGGCTTCCGGTCCCCGGCTTCCGGTCCCCGGCTTCGGCGCGCGCCTGGGGAGGGGACGGCTACCGGTTGAAGTCAGAGGCTGGGACACCGGCTGCGCGCCTGGGTGCGGATCGGGTCGCGTGCGGAGGACGCAGGGGACGCCGGGGTGCGGCGGCCGGGAAGGGGGGCGAGGCCCGGGGATGGCCAGAGAGTCGAAGTGCAGCGCCGCCTTGGACGCCCACACTGCAGAGGAGCGGCCAGGGCTCCTGACCGGCGTTCGGACGGTGAAGGTGGAGGAGGAGGACGGCTCGTACCCGGCCGCCGCGGCGGGCGCGCCCTGCAGCCCTGCCCCCGGCACCGAACGCTCCCGCCGGCGCTTCCGGAGCTTCCGCTACCCCGAAGCCGAGGGGCCCCGCGAGGCCCTCACCCGGCTCCGGGAGCTGTGCCGACGCTGGCTGCGCCCCGAGACCCACAGCAAGGAGCAGATCCTGGAGCTGCTGGTGCTGGAGCAGTTCCTGACCATCCTGCCCGAGGAGCTCCAGGCCTGGGTGCGGGAGCAGCACCCCGAGAGCGGGGACGAGGTGGTGGTGCTCCTGGAGTATCTGCAGAGGCAGCTGGACGAGCGGGGGCCGCAGGTAGAGGCAAAAGGCTGAGTATCTGAGAGCCGTGCTCTGTTTCTTCCTGAAGTCTCAAGATCGGAGCGAGGGCCGTTTCTGTCAGATTGAGAAGGTCTCGGGCTCTTTTTGTATGGTGAACCTCTTTGCCATTCGGGAAGAGTCCACGGACCCCGCCTCATGCTAGTATTTTTAAGAACATAAGGGATTACAAAAGTACTCGAATATATTGGAATACAGGTAACAGCCTGAAACCAATTAGTGATAAAATTATATATGTGCTTTTTTAAAGTTAATGCACCAAAGAGTAAGACGTAGCGGCCCGCCCATAACCGGTACAGTTTCACAGGTGCTGAATGACCTTGACAGGGTCTGCCTGGCTGTGCCTGCTTAGGCTGATAACATTTTGGTTTGTTGCTGCCATTCATAATCGAAAGAATTACTGAATTTTGCTTAGACACTAGTAAAAGTAGAAATACGTTTCATTTCTACATTCATAGAACACTTGGAAGGGAGTGGATGAACCACAGGTTAGGAACCTCTGGGTTCATTTTTTACTGCATCTTCCTGCTTCTTGTAGACCATTTTCTATGTGCATTATCCTGTATTTTTGTGTGATCCTTTCGCGGGACACATACCAGATAACTGGTGACCAGGAGACCAAGCTTCTTCAATTGCACTATTGTTCTCGAGCCCTATATCAGTGAAAAGTCATTTCAAGTCCCTTTCAGGTTTTGCATCTTGTACAAAGGACGTGGAAATTCTAAGCTGCACATAAGCTAATGATAATGAAAGTGACTTCAGAACTAATTACAAGTGTCCGGAAAGGAACTTGCATTTAATAAGGACAGACCATATACCAGGCTCTGTGTTAGGTGATTTCACATACTGTCATCTAAGTTGCCGGTCCTTCAGGCCTTGTGAACTAGAAATTATTGTCTTCACTTTTCAGTGAAAAAAAAAAAAGAAATTCAAGTAGTCGGAAACTTAACACTAATTTCCAAAGAGCACAATGTGTATAACGAGGGAGCACCCAGTAGTGGTTAAGAGCTTGGGCTCTGGGGTCCTGCCTGTGCCCCCATCCTAGCACCTTCACGTATTAGCGGGGTGACCTTGGGCTACCTGTTTCAACTCCGGGCCTCTACAGGGTTTTATCTCTAAAACTACAGATAAGACTAGTACCTAGCTCATAGAGTTGTTGTTTTCTGCATTAAGAGAATTAATCTTCATAAAGCTCTTAGAAATAGTGCCTGGAAATAGAAGGTACTAGCAAGCACATAGAAAGCATAATAGAAGTTTTTATAAATAAAAAGTGAATGCCTTCCAGATCCCAGGTGGTGTTGAGGGGCAACTACTCTGTTGTAAGGTGGCAGCGTTGACACCAGCTCAGAGGCCACGGAATACCCAGTTGCAGCCAATGAAGGCTTTGCTCAAGCATGAATCTCTGGGATCCCAGGCCTCACCAGACAGAGGTGAGTGTTATCTTCTGGGGACTATGAATTCTAGACTTCACCCAACTTCATTTAAAAGCCAGACCTGTTGGCATGCCTGGGTGGCTCAGAGGTTGGCATTTGCCTTTGGCTCAGGGCATGATCCCGGTTCAGGGATCGAGTCCCACATCAGGCTCCCTACAGGGAGTCTGCTTGTCCCTCCTGTCTGTGTCTCTGTCCCTTTCTCTGTGTCTCTCAGGAATAAAAAAATAAAATCTTAAAAAAAAATAGCCAGACCTGTTGACAAGTTCTTTATATGCCCATCAGAGACCTACTTTACTTTGAGACTGAGATGACAGGGAAAGTTTGGTAAGTAAACAAGGCTTCATTAAATTGGTGACTGGAATGACTCGATTAACACTGGTGTTTGGGAAGAATTGACTTCTTAATATCACAGTGATCTCCATTCATTGAACGTGAATTTATGGAGATGACCTATGTGGTAGCTAGTGTTCTGGCCCTAGGGTTACAGTTGTCAGTAGACAGATTTATTGCTGCACTGGAGCTTACACTCTAATAGGAAAGATGGCAAATAAAGTAATGATAATTTTAGTTATTGGTAAGTGCTATGAAGACCATAAGGCAAGAAATGTAAAGCCAGCCATAATACCCCAGACAGTGTAGGACCCTGCAAGTCAAAGAGTATAAGTCTCCTATATCCTTGGTGTGTAACTAGGACAGGGTGAAATCACTCCATGGGAAATCACTGTACACATTTGGGCCTGTTCCCAAGACACACAGCCCTGGGACACACCAGCCAACAGGCAGTCTTTATTTTTCCACAGAGGTTCTGACCTAAACTAATTGGTTTTCTGCCCCTTGCAAAGTTCAGCTCTTCCAGGAAAACTGGAAGTTACCCACCTCCTTATATAAGACTTCATTTTCTTCTTTCTGGGCCTAGCCTCATCTGACTCTTCTTAGTTTTTTAAAACTAAAGCAGAAACACACTAAGAGCTACTAAAGAGTTATTTTAAATCAAGAATCTTCTTATCCGTTCTCTCAGCGAAATTCAAGACTAAAGATCTTCAAATGGAAAGCTTTGTTGTCTTTCTGTGTTGCTTTCCTGTCACCGTCCCTCCCTCCCCACTCCCGTCCCTCCCTCCCCACTCCCGAGGACCCTGCCTGCTGAGGTTGCAGGTTGCATATCTGCAGGGGCTCATCACGCCTCTTCAGGCCCTAGTATGGGAGCCCGTAGGGACCAGGCATTCAGGAAAGGAGCGCATTCTGTAGGAGCCTGCTGACAGGAATTTACGGGCCCCGTTTTTGCACTTGGAATCTACAGGTCAGGGAGGCTGGGTACCAGGGTCCATCTCATCCAGAGTGTCTTTCCTTCTTAGTTCTCCAGGTTCCTGGGCTTGGCCCAGGAGGGCGTTGCAGAGGAGACACAGTGGTGGCTGCCAGGCTGCCCCCAGAGCCCCAGGTGAGCTGGAGCCCCCTCCCTAGCAGCCCTCCTGCCCGTGGGATTCCTGGTAGGTCCCTTTCTCCCCACTCCTCCTCCCTCATCCTCTGTCCCTGTGGACTTGGAGTTTTTTCATCTATCCCAAGGCTGTTCACTGTCCTCTGCCTTTATTTTGGTGCCCACTTACAAGAATTTTCCTGTTTTACTCCTAGAGCAGGGTGCTATGTGATTCCCCAGTCTTACCCCATCTGTTTGGTCAGCTCCCATTATCTGTGGGATTTTCTTCTTCCACTGGGCAATTTAGCAAATACAAACAATGTTTTGTTGTGATGGCGATTTAGCTTTGTTTTTTAAAGATTCATCAATTGTGCTGTTAGAGCTATAAACACAGGACTTCTGCCCTCTAGGGACTGAAACTTGAAGGATTAGATGAGGCATGTTCTTTTAGGCTAAGCTAGAATACTAAAATCTGAATGCTCTTTCCTGGACTTTAATACCTTACCCGGTCTTTCACGTCCTCTTCAGCATTTGAGGCCCTATAATGTTTTCCCTGGTTTTCTTCACTTCAGACTGAGATCTCCTTGTATTTTAAAAAATCGCTACTATAAATAAGCCCCCTGCTACCACTCTGCCAAAGCACAGCACAAATATTTTGAAAGCTTTGTGTATGCTTCCCCTCCTTTCACTGTCCTGGTCCTTGTGTTCCAAACCCTTCTACATTCTGAACTATTTAGATCCAAATACGAAAATATTTTTCCTAATGTGTGTGATATTTCTTTTCTTAATGGTTACATATATGTGTATATATTTACAAAGACGTTCTGAGACTGGGTGAAGGAGGCATAGTGAGCCACACTTGATCTTTTTAAAGAGAGCCCCTTTAGAAGGGATGTTCACTGCCTGTGCCCAGCTGTGGGTGTGACTTTGGAGAAGAAGAACTAGGTGGGATCATGTCCTGTTTCAGGGCTTGCTGAAAACTGAAGATATGGCCCTGGCTTTCTCCTCTGTGTGGACACAGCTGGATTCATCTCGAAGCAGCTTCCACAGAGATGAGAGGCAGGAGAACTGTGGCGGCCCGACTCCCCTGGGTAAGACTGTTGGGGGCTGGTTTCCTAGGGCTTCTTGGCATCCTTTGTCGGTTCAAACCTTCTGGACTGTGAGAAGCTGTTGGAACTGTGTTTGCATTCAGAGCCACCATTTCTGAACCCCAGCTGCTAAGCACATGTGTGACTGGCTCTTTCACCCTCACCCTCGTGACCTTGCTTCTCATGTGCTGCCGGTGTTCTGGTTAAGTGGGATGCAGCAGATGCAACTCCCAGCACGGGCCCGGCTCACAGGAGGTGTACGGGGAGTGTTCACCCCTCCCTGCTGCTGGCCTCAACAGAGGCCAGCTAGGTCCTCCTCAGGAAATGGGCCCTGGGACCACAGAGCGTGAAAGCAACAGGTGACTTGGAACCGACGGCAGAACTGACTTGGAGATCGGGGCACAGGACACACAGGGTGACAGCCTACCTCGTCTGAGCTGCCATAGCTCCATGACAGTTTGGCAGGAGCTCCAGCTCAGATCTTTCCTCACCCAAGCCAGTTCTGCTGGAGACCTGCCCTTGTCTGGGAGCAGAATCCCTGCTGGTATTCCTTGTGAGGGATCAGTGTCTAAGTTCCTGCTTGCGCCACTTCTTACAGAAACGTCTCACAAGTTGGACGTCTCACAAGCTACCCTTGCAGGCTCACTGCTGTCTTCTGCCCCGCCCTCCGAGCATCAGCCCCAGTGCAGGGTCTGCCTTTGTCCTTGGGACTGAGAGCCTCTGCATGTGTCCCCAGCGCCCAGTCCTCCCCACCTTCCTCCACTCCCGGGGTGAACCCTGCTTCTGACAGCCCCATGCCTATGCTCAGGTCTCCTTCCTCCCCAGCACCTGTCGTCCTCATCCCAGCACCTGGAAGTCTGTGGCAGGGCATAACTGAATTGTCTGGCCACTTGTTATTTCAGGTGGGGACACACAGGCTGAGATCACGGACCTGCCCCTAGGGGAGGAACATCCAGGACAAGAGCCTGGGGAAATACCCTGCCACCTGGGTGAAGAAGTCTCCCGCATTCCTGCCTGTGCAGAAGCTGGTGAACAGGAGGGCCGGTTACCAAGAAAGCAGAAAAATGCCACAGGAAATAGGCGGCACTATTGTCATGAATGTGGAAAGAGTTTTGCTCAGAGTTCAGGCCTGACTAAACATAGGAGAATCCATACTGGGGAGAAACCCTACGAATGTGAAGACTGTGGCAAGACCTTCATTGGGAGCTCTGCCCTTGTCATCCATCAGAGGGTCCACACTGGGGAGAAACCGTATGAGTGTGAGGAATGTGGCAAGGTCTTTAGTCACAGCTCAAACCTTATCAAACACCAGAGAACCCACACTGGGGAAAAGCCCTATGAGTGTGAGGACTGTGGCAAGACGTTCAGCCAGAGCTGCAGCCTCCTTGAACATCACAAAATCCACACGGGGGAGAAGCCATACCAGTGTAGCCTGTGTGGCAAGGCTTTTAGGCGGAACTCACACCTCCTGAGACACCGGAGGATCCATGCTGACAAAAACATGCAGGATCCTGAGCGTGGAGAGACCTGGGAGTATCAGGGGAGAGGGGAAGGCCAGTGGGAAAATAACGAGGCTCCTGTGTCTTATAAGTGTACCGAGTGTGAGAGAAGTTTCACTCAGAATAGAAGCCTTCTCGAACACCACAAAATCCACACTGGTGAGAAACCCTTTCAGTGTGACACGTGTGGAAAAGGCTTCACACGAACTTCCTACCTTGTTCAACATCAGAGAAGCCACGTTGGGAAAAAAGTTCCATCACAGTGACCCACGTCGTACATGTGAGCTGGTGCTCATTGCTCATTGGCCTGAAGCCACTGGGAACCCTTTCTGACCACAGAAACTGGGCTGGGACTTTGTTTACCACTTCCCATCATCTTATGTCAGAAGACAGAGTCTGGCTGAGATGTATTGTCTTCTGCATTCTAGAAGGTGGGTGGGGAGCAGCTTGTTTGATAGGAGGCTACGGGAGAGTTGTCTGGAACAGGTAGGACCTGAAATGTTTATTCTTACCTACTGGACTGAAATGGGCTTTCAGACTGGCTAACCACCTCCAGCTGGCACCTTATGATGTCTCCTGGGCAGAAGGCTCTGTTGGGAGCTGCTGCTCTCACCGTTTTGCTTATAAAGAATCCTCCATCAGTCGGTCAGATCCATGACATCTTCTACTCCCCATTGTGCCTTGAACACAGGTGCTCATAAAAATACATTAAATATACCAGTGAGGTGACCTCCACAGCTCTCCAAATGCAATGTGCTTTCAGATTTCTGAGGCCTTTCTAACTAAGGCCACTTGGTCTGTGTCTAATTCTCTGAGTTTCTAGATTTTGGGTCAGTTGTGTATTTATTGCTATGTACATAGGATTGTCAGAGTTGAAGTGGGGGAAATCCATATTTCTTCACCACCATAGTACTTGTAGAAGAATGCTGTAAGCAGCTGATCATTCAGACATGGTGAGACTGCTCCATTCATAGAACTCCATTTTTCAATGTTAATTACGTTTGCTCACATTAATTTTGCTACTTTTCAGGGGGAAACCTTTCACATTCAGGTAAATAAAAAGTGAATCAAGTTAGATCAAAGTGATTATGGATTTTGATAAAAATTCTGTGATGTTGAACAGCTTGTTTCTCACCTTTTAGTTATCTTGGGCCTAACAGATTGCTAAGACCCTATTTGTATCCCTTTTTCCCAACTTAGAGCCAACTTGAATCACAGCTTATGCTAGCTAAACAAGTTTCCTCCAGGTCAGAGGATTCACACTAGATGTGTATAGCAAGTTTCATATTTTCGGAACTGCTCTCTTGGTTTGGGATAGGAAGATTGGGTCAGAGGCAGCCAATGAGGATGGGAGCCCAAGTCTGAGCTGTAGGAGAAAATGTGTATCCAGAATTACATTGGAATCCTACTCTACAATATCCAAAGTATTTTTTTATTTAATGTTTTTTTTAAATTTTTATTTATTTATGATAGTCACAGAGAGAGAGAGAGAGAGGCAGAGGCAGAGACACAGGCAGAGGGAGAAGCAGGCTCCATGCACCGGGAGCCCAACGGGATTCGATCCCGGGTCTCCAGAATCGCGCCCTAGGCCAAAGGCAGGCGCTAAACCACTGCGCCACCCAGGGATCCCTCCAAAGTATTAACATGTGAAGCCACAGTAAGAATTTTGTGATACCTCTTCTTTTCATCCAAATCACCTACTGTGTTCTTCAAAGACTGACAGCTTCCTGATATCACCAGCTTACAGCTTTACCAGGCTGTGCCAGGAATGGATTCCATTTCTCCTGGATCTCAGGACCAGAGATCAGGACAATGTTTTATTCAGTTATCAGCATAGTGTTCTCTGTGCTCTCAAGTACCCTTTCTGGGTTCCTACTCTGAAGCACCACAGGCTGACTAGAGACTTTGCAGACTGTGGGGCTCTCCTTCTATCACTTTCCTGTAGTCTTCCATTGCCTTAATTTCCCCTCATTGCAGTCTAATTTAAAACTTCTTTAGCTTTCCAAAATTCTATAGACTTTCTCCATTTAATCTTTTCTGGCTTTTAAATTTTCCTTAGGTTTTTTACTTCCACAAAGCTAGCAATTTCCTTTTCTCTATTTTTCCTAAATATTGGCTAATAGCCTTGATCTTAAACACTGTTCATTTTTCTTTTCACTCTTTATGTCATGGAGAGAAATATATGTGAAAGCTTTTTATAAACCAGAAAGCATTACACTCAATATAATTTACTGAGATTAACAAGGGACCCTATGCCTCCTTCACTCTTTCTGCTCCCTCTCAGCCTTAAAAACTTCTCTGTAAAGGAAGAAATGTAGAAAAATAATTCCAAATGCCTATTCTGTCTGATAATGAAAGATAAAGCATATACATACATACATACTTGGGCTTAGGGTTTCAGCATACTAAAGTTGATAAGACCTGCACATAGATTGGATAGTACCATGAGAATGGTAAGCTGAATGGTACAGAATCTCAGGAAAAGGTTATTTCAGGCTGTGAAATTATTATCACATGGATAGGGTGATGTGTGAAAGAGCTGGGAAGACTAAAGGAATTTGTAAGTAAGACAAGTTTGAAATAGGTACATTGTGGGGGTCTGGGGTCTTCAGTGCCAGAGCAAGGAGTTTAAATTTTATTCAGTAAGTACCAGGGAGCCACTGACAAGATCAAAATACCATCTGGCAGCATTGTGTAATTTCAACTCAAAAAATTATTTGCTGGTAATCTTGGACGTACTGCTTTAGTAAAAGCAAAAGTAAGATTATAAGATGGCTTCAACTCTAGCCTATTTAATAGGCCTGTCAAAAAATTTGTTTCCTGATGAAATTAAAACTAGTAAACTGCTTAGTTAAGATACAACCAGTACTTAGAGTAGAATAAAATGCCACTTTTTATGCTGTTGAAAATTGTTTTTATGAATTTTAGTGTTGACTAGTCAGCTGTTCTACTTCATTTCTCCAACTGCTGCAATGCAGAAATCCTCCATTTTATCTTTCTCCCTTTGCAGAAGTAGTTTTTTTCCACTTGGGTAGAATGAATAGTTATTATGAAAAGAGCTTTTGATGACTAGCCCTCCTAGATGTGTTCTTAATTTTGATAAAGAATATAACCCTATGAAAGACTGTTTTTTCCTTTAGAAGGAAAAAAACAGGGAAGCCTGGGTGGCTCAGCAGTTAAAGTGCCTGCCTTCAGCTCAGGGCATGATCCTGGAGTCCCGGGATCCCTTCCTGCATTGGGCTCCCTGCAGGGAGCCTGCTTCTACCTCTGCCTATGTCTCTGCTCTCTCTCCCTGTGTCTCTCATGAATAAATAAATAAAATCATTTTTTTAAAATAAGGGACAGTTTACCCATAGGGTTATGAAGACCACTTATACAAACAAATGCTGAGAATTTCTAGTTCCAAGTGGGGCTGTAGTAAACCCTGAACTCACCTCCTCCCACAGACCCACTGAATCAAGCTACAGTGGAACAATTTCCTCTGAAAAAGCAAAGGCTGGCTGAGTGACAATCATACACCTGGCAAACAAGAAGAAAATCACTTGGAACCATGTAGAAGAGTTGGAACACAACCTTGCCATAAAGCCCACCCCTGGCACAGTGATCGACAACTTGGAAGGAACACAAAATCTGGAGCTTCTCCCTGAGGAGCAATGGGTTCAAACCCACATCAGGTATACCAGCTTTTAAGACACACTTGAGAGACAGTTCCCCAAAACATACACCTGAAACCCAACAGGGCCTGCATCCCAAGATCCACAAGACTGAAGGGATCTGAGGAAGTGCTCTTACAGGACTCAGAAGCAGCTGATAGTACTCAGATTGAAAGTGAAGGAGAGTTACCTGCTTCTTTTAAAACACTGGCCTAAGGAGCAGCTTCAAACTGAATATATACTTAGGAGCCTACTGAAACATTCCAGAGAGGAAACTGGCAGGTGCCATCTTTGCAATCTGCCTTTACCATGCTCCAGAGCACCAATATCTTTCATAAGGGAGCTTTTACATGCCTCTAGTGTCCCAATTTTTGCGGCTGCCTCCTAGGGCATGCCTCTGGATCACTTGGCTCTGGAGGCCAGGGGAGCTTCCATTCCTAGTCTCTTCAGGCTATATTTGGTGTCCCCCCAAAAGGAGCTCATACCCAGCCTGGTGCCCCAATTTTTGTGATTGCAAGAGAAGAAGAAAGGAACACAGAGACTACAAAAACAGCCAGAAAACAATGAACAAAATGGCAATAAATACATACCTATCCATAATTACCTTAAACATAAATGGACTAAATTTTCGAATCGAAAGACATAGAGTGGTTAAATGGATAGAGACAAAACCCATCTCTATGCTGCCTACAAGAGACTCACTATATATATGAGAACACACAAGACTGAAAGTGAAAGGGATGGAAAAAAGATACTCTATGCAAGTGGAAAACAAAAGAAAGCTAGAGTAGCTAAACTTAATGAGATAAACTAGACTTTAAAACAAAGACTAATGACATAATGATAAAGGGGTCAATCCAACAAGAAGATATAACATTTGTAAATATTTATGCACTCAACTTAGGAGCACTTGAGTATATAAGCAAATATTAAACAGGAATAAAGGAAGAAATAGTTCCACAGACCAATATTTCACTCTATGTAACTAAAATTTAAATTTTTAAAAAGAATAAAATGAGAAATAGCAATATAACAAACCAATATTTCACTCTATGTAACTAAAATTTAAATTTTTAAAAAAGGAATAAAGTGAGAAATAGCAATATAACAATAGTAGGGCCTTACATTGATGGACAAATAATCCAGACAGAAAATAAGGAAACACTGGCCTTACATATGTTAGGCCAGGTAAACTTAACATATTTATGGAACATTCCACCCTAAGGCAACAGAATACACATTCTTCTCAGAAGCACATGGAACATTTTCCAAAATACACCATATATTATGCCACAAAACAAGTCTTAATAAATTTGAAACGAATGCATCATATAAGTATCTTCCAGCCACACTGGTATGAAATTAATTATACAAAGAAAACTAAAAATTCACAAATATGTGAAGATTAAATGACTTGCTACTGAACAGCTAATAGATCAAAGGAGATAACAAAAAATACCTTGAGACATGAAAATGGGAATATAACACTATATGGGATGCAGCAAAAGCAGTTCTAAGGACAAGTTCAGAGTGATAAATGCCTATCTCAAAAAACAAGAAAAGTCTCAAAAAATCTAACTACACATCAAGAAACTAGAAAAAGAAGAACAAATGAAGGCCAAAGTTAGCAGAAGAAAGATTACAGCAGAAATAAATAGAGACTAAAGAGACAGTAGGAAAGATCAATGAAACTAAAAGCTGGCTCTTTGGAAAGAAAATTGACAAACCTCTAGCTAGACTCATGGGGCGGAGGGGAGACTGAGAAGAGGACTCAAAAATCAGAAATGAAAGAGATGTTACAATTGATACCACAGAAACACATAGGAACAATTTTAGGCCAACAGCTTGGATAACCTAGAAGAAATGGGTTCTAGAAGAAATTCCTAGAAATATACAACCTACCAAGACTGAATCATGATGAAATAGAAAATCTGAACAAAAACAGTTACTAATAAGGAAATTTGAATTAGTAATCAAAAATGTCCCAACAACAACAAAAAGTCCAAAAGCTTCACTGGTGAATTCTACCAAATGTTCAAAGAATAACGATCTTTCTCAAATTCAAAAAAAGAGAAGGGGAAG